CACCATCATATTGGGGGTTAGGGCTTCAATATATGAATTTGGAGAGGAGGGGGGCACATTCAGTTTATAATACAGATCAATGAGAAAAGATGAGATGTCCAATTAAAAATAGTTATTCATACAGAAAAAATTAAATTGAGTCTTAATTTAAAAATAAACTCCAAATGGATTTAAGACTTAAAAGTCCAAAGAAAAATCACCCCCAAACAGAAGCAAAACCTTTAAAGCTCTTAGTGGAAAATATAGGTAAATAAAGTTTAGATCTTCGGCAAAGAAGTAACTTCTTTAAAAAGACACTGACCATAGAATAAAGGATTAATAAGTAATAAAAATTTGACTGAATTAATCAAGAACTTTGACTCATCAATAGACATCTTAAAAATTTGGAAAAGGTGCCCAGCCAGTGTTGCTCAGTGGCTGAGCGTTGTCCCCTGCACCAAAAGGTTGCTGGTTCCATTCTGGATCAGGGCACTTACCCAGGTTTTGGTTTGATCTCCAGCCAGGCTGTGTGCAGGAGGCAACCAATTGATGTTCCTCTCTTACATGAATGTTTCTCTCTCCCTCTCCTTTCTTCTCTCTGAAATAAATAAAAACTTAAAAAAAAAAAAGAACAGCCATTTGTATATAAACCAGCAAGCAATGTATGTGGAAAGATGCCCTAGTTAATGTTTGCTGATTCCAGGTTGCTGAGGAGGACCCAGTGAAACTTCTTTAGGCTGGAGTAGAAATAGTCACTAGACAGACAATTATCTGGAGGAACTAATATCCTTTCTGGGGACATTTTTTTTTCCACCACAGAATGTGCAGGATTGTTAAGAAAGGTCAACTTTCTACAAAACTACTTATCAACCTGTGGAGGGCTGCTGGCTAGCACATTTGGGCGTTTTTTAAATATGTCGGCTGAACTCAAGGCGCAGGCAGAGCCACACCCTGGGGGTGGTCCTAGTCACTCAGTCTGACTTTCCCACCCAGGTGCTAAGGGGGGCGGGTCCTATTATGTTGCCAGGAACTCAAGGCCCACCGAGATGTGACGTAACTTCCGGTTACTTTGATTGATAGATAGATAGATAGATAGATAGATAGAAATGTGACGTAACTTCTGGTTACTTCGATATATATATATATATTTATATGGTGCTAGCTGGCTGTCCCTCCATCAGAATGCAGACACCACACCCAGGCCCAGCTTTCCCTATATTTCTGTCTCAATCTTGTTTTATTCATTTTCCCTAAACTTTCGTGGTGTTCTACACAAGAATTCATCAACCCCCGCGTTCTCTCTCTCTGCGCTGGCCGAGGGAAGAGAGAACCCCCCCATACCCACCTGTGAAATTTTCCATCTCTAGGTGTAGAGTAAAACCACTAACACCAAATGTTCTGAACTGGTTTTGAAAAAAGCCATTAAGCCTGGTTCAATGAACAGAGAATCAGTGCTGATGACCACCACCAACCTTGAAGAGATTGGTTGGCAAGAAGATACTAGTCCATTGACAAGGAGCCAGTATTTAAATACTGGCATTAGAATGGAGCCAAGAACACTTTGGATGGTGGAGCTCACAAGGCAGATCCTAGATCAGTGATTCCCAAAGTGGGCGCTACCGCCCCCAAATAAGTTTGGGAACCACTGTCCTAGATAGTTCAAATGTTGAAATAATTTACTTTGTAAAAAGTCTCTCAAAGAAGACTTCTGGCCCATTCCACATGGAACTGGATGGGATCAGAGAGACCAGAGAGTTACAGGCTTTGAAAATAGGGATTTCAAAGCTCAGATGGTGCTCAAGTTGGAAATACAACCACGGACAGAAGGCTACTTCCAGGCCTTGAGTAAAAATTTCTCCTGTGACTATTTTATGTACACAACAACTTCCTAGAAATAATTATCACTCCTCTTTAGAGCTTTGGGCCAGAAGAAAAAGAACCTCCTTTTCTTCCAAGTTCAGCAACTTGAAGCTATTTTCTTGTGCAATTAAAGAAAATTACAGGTTTGGTAGTACATTGCCAGATTTGATCTTTCTGAGATATCACATATACTTAACAACTGCTAAAGCTTGGTATCCTATGAAAGCTAGGACAGAGAATGAATTTCTAGTTACAATTTCACTGTAGCATGCAGACCATCTGGCCCTGACTATAGACCAAATAATGGAATAAATATCAGAAAATATTTTTTGCCCCAGTTGGTTTGGCTCAGTGGATAAAGTGTTGGCCTGCTGACTGAAGGGTTCCAGTTTCAATTTCGGTCAAGAGCACGGTACCTGGGGTTGCAGGCTCTATCCCCAGCCCTGGTGCGAGTGTGTGTGTGAGGCAACCAACTGATGTGATGTTTCTCTCTGTGTCTCTTCCACTTTCTCTAAGTCAATGGAAAAATATCCTTGAGTGAGGATTAATAACAGCAAAAAAGATTTTTCAAAGTTGAGGGGTAAATTATGCCATGTGGGAGTGAAGTGAAATTTAAAATAAGGCTAGGCATCAGAAAAATGGATTTGACCAATTTAAATCTTAGAAATAAATACCATCTCACCACACAAAAATAACAAATAAGTGAATATTATATGCCAATCCTATATAATAAAAGGGTAATATGTATATTGACCAAACGGCAGAACAACCAGTCAGCGGAGGGTGGGGCTAGCGAGTGGGCGGTGCCAGGCCAGCCAAGGCAGGTGGCAGCAGGCAGAGGGAGGGGATGGCAATTGGGGGGGGGGGGGGGGGCTAGTTATCCATAATAATAAAAGCGTAATATGCTAATTAGACCAGATGAAACTGCAGTGGCAAGGGCCAAAGCAGAGGCAGTAGAGGCCCCCACAACGGTGGGCAGGGGCCGAGGTAAAGGCCCCCGGCTGCCGTGGTGGTGGGGGCTGAGCCCCTTGCATGAATGTTGTGCACTGGGCCTCTAGTAACGCAATAAAAAAAGGTGATGGATGTGGTATGTTAAAAAAACAAAATTCAACTGAGTAAATTTGAATATCTAATTGGCTTTATTAAGTGATTCATGAATAGGGCAGCATCCTATCTAGCAACTAGAAGGATGCTCAGAGGGGTGCACAAAATGGAAGGTTTTTATAGGCAGGAGGGTGTGGAAGGGAAGTTACTAGCAAAAGGAAGGAAAAAAGAAAGAAAGAAAGAAAGAAAGAAAGAAAGAAAGAAAGAAAGAAAGAAAGAAAGAAAGAAAGAAAGAGAGAAAGAAAGATTTTTGAGAGAAAGGAAGAAAGAAAGAAAGAAAGAAAGAAAGAAAGAAAGAAAGAAAGAAAGAAAGAGTTTTTGAGAACAGAACACAGATATTATTAATGTCTGAATATCTAGAGGTCAATACAGTACATTTTAAGTGGTGTGAATTAAATAAATATTTTTATTTAGGTAAATAATTTAATGATAGAACACTCAAATTTCTTTAAACACAATATTTCAAATTACTATCTTTCTGGAATACAGATCTTAAATGGTACAAATTGTACCCAAATATCAAACCATGAATTTAACAGAGGCTTCACTGATAGAAAAAGCTAAAGGAAACTAGAGATTTTACAAAGATTTATGGTCTACTGACAGCAATACACATACATGGTGTGGACTATTATTAAGACTGGTAGCCTGCTGGCTTTTAGCTTTACAAGCTGCTTAAGAACACTTCTTATTGAAGATTCTGCTGGTCTTGGACCAGCAAGGAATGATAAGGCTTATTTTAATGGTGACAAGAATAACTATCTTACCATATGGCCATATGGTACACATCACCAAATTTCTAGGATCAGATGAACTATGGTTTTTGTGTGTGCATATATACATACATGTGGTATAGTTTAATAAAATTGCATTTCTTATGTTTCATTGCTTTATAAAGTCACACTCCATATAGTGTTTTCATTAAAATTCACTGATGCTCAGTACCAAATTTAGAAGGTTCCAACACTATATAAGCATGACGAGGAGTTATAGACCTTGAGGTAAACTTCAGGATGGGTCAGCCTTAATATTCCTCACAGTGGAGTGCAAACACTAGATTCTGTCTAGTTCTGCCTGAGAGGAGAGGACTTCATCCACAAGTATTATCATTTGAACACAAAACAGGGAACAGAAGCTTTTCTTGGCTTTGGCACTCTCTGTTCCCTGAAAGGGTGTCTGACTGGTGGAGGCAGAGAGTGAATAATCCAAAGTGGATTAACAACGCCTAAATGGGCCCAGATAACACCCCTGGAATCCTAGACCCAGAAACTAGAAGCTAAGAACTGTTGTTAGCTACATTGGTCTTCATCAAAGCATAGCAGCACAACTCCTTCCTCAATCTTAAGCCCCACAGAGGAGAAGCTCTTTGGGAGAGAAGAAGGGAAGTTGATATAGTTGAAGGCTATGCTACTTCCCAAAGGTCTGACACTCTGGGCCACAGCTAAGAGTGTGGAATATGATCCCACTTTGAAAATGATTGACTCTATTTTAAGAGCAGAGCATCTTAGAAAAATCCAGGATACCAACTCTGGAACTTTAACTCAAGAACATGGAACACACAGCAGTATACCCTCTTCTTAAAAATCTAGATGTGTATTTTGGTTTTCAATTACCACACAAAAACTTTTTTAAAAAAACTTTAATTTCCTAGTACAGTGTACAGTTTTAAGAGAACCTACATTTTGAATGAGTTCATCATTTACAACCATCTTCATGAAACACAGTTAACTCGGTTTTTCTGGTGCTATGACATTAAACAGGGAACCAAACTGTGTTTCACTCACAACACATAACCAACTAAATTGTATGTACATTCATAGGTGTACGAAAAGGCTGTGATATAACTATCTTTAGCCTTTCAAATTAGGTAGACAGGGCCACCCACTCACTCTGTATATCCCACAAAACACAAAAGCAGCAACTTTTCTATTTCATTACAATTATGGGCAGAAATTATATGATGAAAAACAGAGGTTCTTCCACAAAGGTTAAGGTATAAGGTAGAAGATAAAAACAAAACTCCCATGAGGTAAAAAAAATAATCTTACTTTGGGTAGAAGAAGATAAACACAAAACTCCCATGAGGTAAAAAAAATAATCTTACTTTAGTCCAGTACTTCATGAAAACCTGAGATAAACTACAGTCCTCAAAGGTGTGTACATGTGGATCCAGGTTCACCAAGACACTTCAGTATGCTTCCACCTGGCTCATCAGCCTCCTCCTGCTGTATTCATAAACCAAAAACAGTGACCCATTGGCAGGTAGCGCTCGAATCATAGTAGCTGTCAGTCCAGAATATAAGGCTGCTATCCCCTCACTTTCCACAATGCTTACAAGAGTTCCAACAAACCCCGCCTGTTTTCCATGCATGGAAAGAACCTGAATTCTGGATTTGATACAATCCACGGGGAATATGACAAGCCAGAGGCAAACCCCAGCAATTCCACCGCTTAACATCAAATGGGCGGGCCCCAGTTCATCTTTTGATCTCCCCGAGGCCAAGACCGTTCGGGTCACTTCATAGCCGCCAAAGAAGAAGAAATAGCCCGGTACTTCTTGCAGGAGCGTGCTGGAGAAGCCGTGATAGAAGCCCCAGGGGCCATCCTTCATAAGGATGCCCTTCACCACGGACCAAACTGTGTTGTGGCTCTGGATGATCTTTCCTGACTTCTCCATTTCGTGCATGGCCTGCAGACGGCACTTGACCAGCTCAGTGGGGCACAGGGCCAGCGCCGCGAACGCGGACGCCATGGAGCCGGCGGTCGCGGTCTGCAGGTCACTCAGCTTGGCCTGCTTGTCCAAGCCCACCATTTTCTTCACAAACTGTTGGCAGAAGCCGTAGCACATGAAGAGGACGGAGTTCTCGGCGACGTAGGCCATGAGCGCGGGGCCGGTGCCCTTGTAGAAGCCGCGCAGGCCCACCTGCGCGTACGTCTGGCGGCAGCAGTCGGCGAATCCCTGGTACAGGCCGGGGAACGTCTGCATCTTCACTTTCACGGTGTCGAAGGGCTGCCCGGTCAGGACACACGCGGTGCCCCCGAGGGCCCCCGACGTGAGGTCGATGGCCGCTTGGATGACGGGGTTGAACCTCATGTTCGCGCGCTGGTCTCGGTGGAAGGCGACCCTCCGGAGCGGTGCGGGGGTCCCCGGGGCCGCCGCCGC